GCAACCTAGTCCTTTGTCAGTTTTTTCGCTGTCCATTATTATACTTCTATCTACGTAAATCCAATTCACAAGCATAAAGCAATAGACAAAAAAAAGCTGCTCTTTGTTATACAGTATACTGATTCAGAGCACAAATACATTATTTCTGTAATGTCATTTTGAAGACGTGAGCATGTATGGTAAAAGAAAACCTGTCAGCTTGCTGAAATTGATATTCATTAGGGTACTTTTACCTGAATAGGGAACATTTGGGCTTTCTGGTCTTTATCCTAGCCCCAGCTGGTTATGGTAGAAGGTTAAGACTTTACCATATTCTGTTCAATTCTGTTTCCTAATTAGTCCTATGAATCTATAGCTGTGAGCACCAAGTGTCCAGGCTCAAAAGAAACTAATTAATGCAAGCAAATTAGATCAACTCCAAGGATCCAACAGCCAAACTCTTAGTTAAATGCTCCTTGTTAATAGGAAGTGTAGCTGTCAATAACTGCTGTTGGTGGCTTTAATGAGGCCTGCTTCTTTCACTGAAAGTCATTTCATGTCTCTTTGTCCTTGTAAAAGCTGCTCCTTCCCCTTAAAAAACACCCTACATAGTAATGGTGGTGTTAGTACACTCTCTCTCCCTCCCTCCTCTCTTAATTCTGCTGATAAGCTGGGTTGAGATGACATTGAAAATCAAATGGAATAAAAGTTCACTCCCAAATTATATTTTACATGCTGCTGTAAAAACCTTGTACTAAATCGGCCTGATCCTTCGGAAGACAGATACACATCTTCTATGAATGATTTATTGTAATTTTTTTTAACTTTATAATAACTTTACAATATAAAAGGATAGAGCAAAGCTCTAATCTTAAATGACTCAAATATAGATACATTTACATATAGGTGCTAGTGGTCTGCTAATTTATATTCAACTACAGACTTTTCTTTTCCCTTTTCAGAAAACTAACATGAACAAGAAATTCAAGATTCAATATTTGGCTGCAATCATCTTTACAGAAAATACATACTTTGGAACAGATTTAGATAGTAGTTAAAAAAAAAGGTTTAACTTATTTTTTGAAGTGTGTATACACTGAAATTAAGATTTTATTGAAGTGTGTTTAAAATACTTTCAATTGCCAACATCACAGATAAAAATGAATGAGGACAATGAGGAGAGATCAAGAGATATTGGTAGCTGAAGCTATATGCAAATCTCAGTTTTTCGTGTAGAAACCTAACCATTTACGTAATCTGCTTCCTACATATCCCTAGTGATTAATAAAGTCCCTTACATTAAAGGGCAAGGAAGTCTTTTAAAAATAAAGGCAAACTGATCACTAAAAAGAAACAAAAATCTTGGAACAGATCGTTAATTCTTACCAGTGCCACCATGCCTCGCTCTAATCTTTGCTCTCTTGCAGAGCTCCTTGGGTCAGTATTATCTTCAATATGGGTGAGTATTATCTAACAGTTTCAGGAAAATGAGATGCCTGCATCCCCTACGTCAAGGGCGGACAAAATATAGCATTCAGGAGCCAATCTGTCCTGCCTGCTGTCTAGAAGCCAGCAGGATTTTTTTTTTTTGAGGAGCCAGCTCCATAGACAACAACTAGAGAAAATGCCAAAAGTTAGGCACCAGCTGCCCTATTCCATGCAGTGGTTCCACCCATCAGCTGCCATGAAATTAAGGTCAACTGAGTGGACTTGTCATAGTTGCAGGCCTAGGTTTTTTTCTGTCCATTTTGGACTAAGCTTTAGTGATTAAGCAGGCCACGTTTTGAGTACATGGAAGTATTCTTAGAACCATTGCCCTCATTGCTACAAGCATTACCATGATATAAACTAAATTTTTGGAATTATTATTATAATACAGGATTTATATAGCGCCAACAGTTTGCACAGCGCTTTACAATATAGGGAAGACATTATAATTACAATACATTCAAGACAAGATGGCAAGGAGGGCTCTGCCTGTGAGTGCTTATAATCTAAGAGGGAGGGGAAAGTGATACATGAGTAGGTAGCTGTGTGGGGATAAATTGTTTAAGAAATAGTTCAGTGGTTAGTTTGAAGTGTGATAGGTTTCCCTGAAGAGATGAGTCTTTAGTGATCGCCGAAAGGCAGTCAAAGTGGGAGATAGACTGACAGGTTGGGGTAAGGAGCTCCAAAGAATGGGAGAGACTCTAGGGAAGTCCTGGAGGCGAGCGTGGGAGGAGTTGATGAGGGAGCTACAAAGCAGGAGGTCTTGGGAGGAGCGGAGGGGACAGTTAGGGTGATACTCTGAGAAAAGGTTGGAGATGTAAGCGGGGGCAGAGTTGTGGATGGCTTTGTAAGAGGTTAATATTTTGAATGTTATCCTTTGGGCGATTGGAAGCCAGTGCAGGGATTGGCAGAGGGGGGTTGCAGATACAGAGCGGTTGGTTAGGTGGATAAGTCTAGCAGCATACTCTATAGCAATACAATAATGTTTGCATTTAGCATATTAAAACATTTTACACTACGTCATTGGTGTAATCATCATTAATGTTCTTCAAAATTAAATTCTCTGTAGAACAATTATCTGCTACACAACTGTACAGATATGTGCTCATATTTTTTTAATTCAGGCAATAAAGCCATTTAGAACCCTTAACCGCACATTGTTCATCAGGGGTCAGACTTTCTTTGCCTCTTTGAAAGGTCACTGCTCTCAAAGCCAGTTGCTTTTAAGGCACTGCCAGTCTGAATGTTTGATATTGTTTAACCTAAACCACATAAACGTTGCAGGAGAAGATACAACCATAATAAAGATTAATAAAACTCACCAGAACCTAACATTATCTAATATGTTAGTCTATAAAATTCTACAATAACGTTTTGTAGAGTTTAGTTACTTGAAAACAACTATATGTATATGCTTAGGAGTGTATATTTTTTTCCACAAAGACAAAGGATTAAAGGGTAGAATTCCTTGCACCATACATACCTGCTTAACTACATACTGTACAAAGACATAACAGTACCTCATGAGTAAAGCAAGAGAGAAATATGCCCTAGGTATCATGAAATATATTTGACAAAATGATCTTAGACACAACCTACCCATATTCTTAGGTTCTAAAGCCGCCAAGTATCTCACACTTCTCTTGTTACACCATATCTCATAATCGGCCATAACTATTCCCCTTAACTTACTCCCATCATATGTCATTTTAATTTGTCCTTGGGCTGTATAAATGCATGGTGTGGAGCTGAAAACGGGCTCTGTTCTTCACATATGGGTCTTTTCTTGTCACTTGAAAATATCCTAATCTTAACCCAGTGTAACCCTTGAGGGACACAGCGTTGCTTATTGGTGAAGTATTGTTGAACAAGTGCACGTTACTGAAACCATGCTTGACACTGGCCAGCCTTTGGAGAAGGTAGGCCTGAAGTTATATTGTGGCCAATCATTTCTACTAAATATCATTGAGTGCCCAGAGCAGTAGTACTATAAGGAAACCTGGGTGTTGTCAAATAACCTTTCTTCTTCTACCTACCAAAATAGTCTTTTTTGTTTCAAGGTGTAGCACATAACACATTTTGTCACCATAATTGTAAATGCTAGCTGGTCATATACAGTAAAAAAGGCAAGTGTGCCACATAAAGGTTATGTGATAAAACCGAACATGTGTCCTATGCTAAAGACCAAAAACATATCTGAAATCAAAATGAAATGATAAAAAACAGAAAGATCACACTATACACTCACTATTCTTCAGTGTGTCCTTGTTATTCACTGCTAGTTGATCTAATTAACTAAAAGAGGAAAAATCTTTCCACCTCAGTGGAGATCATTTTGTTAGACATGAACATGGGAGTAGGTCCTGCCCGTTTTCTCTTCCAAAAAGGAGCACCATAAATCTGGGTCCCTGTGTGTACCTCTTATTTTGTGTTTTGAGGTAATACCTGCATGCTCATAGTCCAAGCATTAGAAAAATAGCAAAGCTTCATGCCATTCACAAACCTATAATTTTCCTGGTAATCGGGCAGACCACAAAAGGTTTTAAAGTCTCCTCCCCACTTTGGAAGGTTCTCCAAAAAATGTTCTGCAGGGGATGATTGAGCTGAAAGCAATTACCCGCAGTGCTGTAAAGACCAAGTGCTGGCATATGGTACTCTTACACTGCACAGTACATCTCTGATCTGCATTAAGTACAGAGTTCATTAAAATAGCCCATAACAGTTATATAGAGCAATGTCTTGGGGTTATTCCCTTTGGTTATTTTGCCATATGGTTACATAATACATTATTCTACCTTTATAGTAACGCAAAACAAATAATCAACCAATCAAAAAAGTGAGTAGTTAAATGGTGATTGTCCTTTTTTTTTTTTTTTTTAATCACAAGTGACAGCTAAACAACTAAATTGACTGGAAATAATTTCTCTATGTAGTTTCACCCTTTCCATCTACACAGCAGACCTGACGGGGAAACTTCTAGTTCTAACCTTATAAACCTGACCACTCTTCAAAAAGTTACTACCTCATCAGCGGTAGTAGTTATGGATTTGATGGGCAACGGACCTGTTAGTACAGAGATGCCTATAAGGCTGCACATCATCAAAACTCATGTGGCCAAGCAAAAGAGGAGGATTGAAATGGTGGTGGGAGAGGGGGGGTAGATGACCAGTACCAATAGCTGCATCCAACTGTTGAACCTTAAAGCACTATCACCCATACTGACAAAGGTAAAACAGCATGAGAGAGATAATAGCAAAAATAAATAAATAGGTAGTTTAAAACAGTAAAACACCAGTTTGTAAAGGTCAAGAAAATGTGCGATACAAAGAGCAGTCCCCCCAAAATTTGCCATTTTAGTCCTCTATAAAGGATAAGATCCACCAAACCTGCTACCTCCTACCGCGACTTTTCTAATTTCAGCTTTACGGTGTTACGCATGTCACCTGTTCCTGTTACAGCATAGATAACTTTGGTTTTAACTAGTTTGGCTAACTGCAGTATAGTGTGACTGCGTTGTCATTCTAGTTTGTTACCTTCTACATGTTCAGCACATCGCACTTTGGATTTCTCTCTCATAATCATCGGGACAAGAACATCTTTTTCTACATGCCGCAGATCTTCCTCTGCAAGGAGAGGAAAACAATTATAGAAGCAACAATGCACGTGTACATATGGAATACTTTACATACACTTACTCTGAGGAAAGTTTGAGAACTTTTGGTATGAGTATTTCAGTAGGAAGCAACTAAAGGGAGCCAAAAATCAAGCAAGTCAAAGCTTAACATTTTTCATTATTTTTTTTTATTGCGTAGGAATCAATTTTCACCTTCTTTACTGACTGAATTTGTTAGGCTTTACTTTAAGACTCATACTGATGAAATGTGCTAGCACAGAATAATGATACAGTGCTCACATCATAAATACCTAGTGGCTAAATAACTCTGAAACAACAGGATTCACCACTAAAGGACAATGAATCCTGAATATCAATCAGCCATAAAATATAGTCGCAGTTAAACTGATCTTTTTTTCTGAGAAGGCATATACTCTGCTTGCTAAGGATTATTTTTACTGTAATTTCCATAAATATTCAGTGAAAATATAGTGATCATATATTATGCAAAGAGCCTGGTTAATAACGATTGAATTTGTTATAATGAACAGGGTTTTCCAAATTAACTGTTCTATAAAAATTAAAGTGAAATGCCAACACTTTATTTTATATTTAAAGTTGATCTACAAGCAGATAAATAAAAGACACAACATAATGACAGTTTATTAATGGTTTTTTTTCTACTTATGTTACATAATGGACAGAAAAAACTGCATCGTTACTTACCAGTATGGGAAATTTCATAACTCCTCTACAGCAACTATCACTGAGAGATCGCTCATTCAACCTGAATTAGACAGGAAGCACAGCTTGAAGTTTAAAAGCCACCTTCTCAGTACACTATAGATGTCCATAAAATTAATCACCCATAGCGTGGGATACACACCTATTGTTGAAGGGTGATTGAATTCTTATTTCATATTTTTAAGTAATGGTACACTCTCTTCCTCTACAGGGGTGTCATACTCAATTTAATCGTGGGTCGCATCAACATTATGGTTGCCCTCAAAGGGCCTGTAAGATTAGATACATTTAAATAATCTTTATTGCCTCTGCATTCGATTATCACTGGTTTTAGTAATAACTTAATGCCTAGATCTGAAAGTAGAAGTCTAGGAAATGGCCTGGTGGGTCAGATTCGGCCCCTGGGCCTTGAGTTTGACACATGTGATCTACAACATGCATGACATTTACTTGGGGGTAGAATAACCATCTGTAATGCTTGCGTCTGAGAGTAAACTTTTTCAGGTAACTACTAGGGATATTCAGACATCAAATCCCGTACTCGGTACAAGTACAGAAACTTTTTCAGCTACAAGACTAGAGAAAAAAAAAAAATCAAACGTTAGGAGGCAGCTGTCATTTTTAGGGGCATACAGAGCTCCTGGGATTTGTGCATTCCTGTTTTAATGCATAATTTTTTTTATAAATATATATAAGTGATGCACCGATACCATTTTTCCAAGTACTGATACTTGTCCAACTACCCATAGATACGAGTACTGATACATTTTGGTTTGTTGTCATGTGACAGTTTTTTCTAAAACAATACAGACTAATGATTTCAGGACAGTGGTGGAGCGCCAGAGCCAGGTCCCAGCTGCAACCACTGCGAACCTGGTAGTTCTAGTGAAAATGACAAGTATCGGCACTGGTATCTGTACATTCCTAGTAACTACCATGCACATCTCACCTGCTGACACTACACCTGCTGAAACATGCACTTTGAAAAAGTTGACAACTTTTTCAATAATCGATTATAATCGATTATGTCGATTAGTTGTTGCAGCCCTATCCAGGACACAGAAATACTCTGGCTGAATGGGCTTAAAACCTTTTGAAGAATCTTGCCTATGGCCTCATACACTGAAGCTTTACAAAAGAAGATTCTATATTTGAGTGCCCCCATACCAAGGCTGGATAAGTCCCAGGAGCCAGGAAGCCAATGCTCCCGAAAATTACAGTTTGCACCCACCTTTTGGGGTTTTCTCTAGCTGTCAATGAAGTTGGCTCCTGGATTGCAGACTGGCTCCAGAATTCCATATTAACTTGTCTAACCTATGTTAACAGAAATAGAAAGGACATGGAGAACGTAGGTGTGGTTGTCAATAAATCTCTTTGCTGTGCTTCCAAATTCAGGTGCAAGGAGCAATTTTTCAGTCATGGAAGTCATAGAGGGAAAGGGAGAAATGTTATTGTGATAAGCAGAAAAATCAGATTTTGGAGCATGGTCAAATGTATAGGTACATTTATGAAACATTTGATAACGGTTTTATATGGGGGTCATGTTTGACAAAACAAACCTTCCTGACTGGGGGTAAAAAAGTGCAGTCAGGGCCATAAAAGGGTGGCAGAGCATGTAAGCAATTTGTGAGTTTGCTAAAAGTCTGTAATAACTAGAAATGGCAGATAAAACCAGAAGTTGTGGATATTCACATAAAATAAATTGGCACGATTGGATCAAATCCAAGTTTATGTGAACTGGTTTCAACATTTTAGATTTTCGCAGACTCCTGCGAGGTCAGTCTACATAACTAAGCAATGTTAATTTTTGAAGCTGTCAAAAGGCAGATAGTCCGCAAGTCCAAAAGAAATAAGACATGTTACAGTTTAGCGATAGAGTAGAAAATGATGATTTAATTAACACATAACTTTAACAAGTAAGTTTACCCTGGCTCAGTTACAAGGTGACCCAGATCCATTAATTTCCATAGAGTGCGGAGTCAGCACAGCCCATCTAATCTAAGGTTGCTCAAATTCATTCCTTTATTACAACCTATTACTTGCATGCTTTAAAACCTGTGCCTGTGAAAATGAGGATTAAACAACTGTACAAGCAGAATGTGTTGATTACAGAAAGTCAGATGATGCTAATGAAATTTTAGTTTAAAGCCCGATTACATAAAGTAAGGACAACCATATATTCCAGATAGTGGATAAGCTTATAGTATGCTATAGGTCGGTGTGTCTTTAAATAAAAAAACTTTCAATTAGACATTTTTCTAAACTCACAATAACATATCCAGTTATATGTGCTACAATATAAGGTTTCCAAAGGCCATCTGGACTTGGATTTGATCCCTCCCAGCACTAGTATGTCATAGGAATCTCTTGGTATACAGTGGGAGTAAAATACAAAGCCTGGTCCAGAGAAAACTGAAGCAAAAATAGCGCAGAAACCAAAAGCATCCAGTTTAATTTTTGGCTTCATTTAAAATTTGAAACATGATTGGTTGTGTGGGAAAGCTGCTAAAATTTTGTTCCAATTTTCTTAAAGCTGAAATCCAGGCAAATATAAAAACACCAATTAAAAGAGAACTATGGGGTAAGTGTTTTTCCCCATAGTTCTCTTTAGGGTCAAGGGAGGACATATACTAACCTCCTCCCGTGACCCAAAGCTCAGTATATCGTGGGCCATAGACCGCAATATACTGTGAGCACAGCAGCCGGGACAGATCCCACCATTACTGTCGAGATCCACCCAGCTGCGTGAGTGACAGCTGCCTCTGCCTATCTAGAGGCAGAGCCAGCTGTGCCCGCCCCCTCTGCCTATCTAGAGGCAGAGCCAGCTGTGCCCGCCCCCTCTGTTCAGTACTGGAGGATCGAAGAGGGAAGGGGGGAATCCCTGCGGGCAGCGGTGACTGACAGACACGGATCGAGAAGTGAGCAGATCGGTGCACGTTTCTGCTCACTTCCCGATCGATAAAGCCGACCTGTGACAGTTTCTTTGTCACAGGTCGGCTCTAACTATGAGGATGAGTGGAAATCACCCACCTCATAGTTCTCCTTTAATGCAGCTGTGTATTGAATAAAATTGATAAATGCTTTTATAAATGTTGGTCTAAGTACCTGAATTTGACTCAATATCAGCTTGTTTTAGTTATCTGCACAGAGGAACTGGGAGAAGGGGCAGTAGTAGTGACCAATCAGGTGTGCTGCAGGCAAGTACACTGATAAAGAACATTCTGACAGGAAACGAGAACAGCCTGCAGAGCTGCAACCCTCAGTTGCTTCTTCACTGTCCAGAGCAGGGAGGTGACCAGGTTCTATTGTTCTAAGTCTATAAGACAAAAGTCAGGCCGCCAGCCTTGCTGTGTGGTTTCTTAAGGCTGAGGAAATCTCAGAACCAGATGGAAAGAAGTACAAATCCTCTGGCAAGTAAAACAGCACTATATGTCATTCAAATGTGGATATAGCTATCTGTCTGGATATCAGCTTTAAAAGGCACCTGAATGACACGATCTGTCACTGCTAACTGATCCTTTAGAAAATGTTAGCAGCAGGGTGGAAGTCTGAACCAGTGGCTTCAATCTTCAAGCGACAATTGTTTTGTTACAAGCAATGCTCAGATGTGAACATAGCCATAGAAATTAATGAGGGTCTTTTATTGGGGGAGGGGTAGGTCTGAAAATACAGAGGCAGTTGGATCAAATCAATGTTTCCCTTATAAGTTTCTTTTAATAATGCTCAAAGGAAAGCCTTTTTCCTATACCATCCTGAAGGATAATGAACACTACAGTAACATCAATTCTAGGCCATGACCAGGCCAACAAGGAATATACCTCCCAAACAATTGCAACTCTAATAGCCTGTATAAAAATACTAAGGTTGGAATGTGGTGATGAAACTGAAACCTGAGATAGGAGGTCCAGTCTTGATAAAAGAGTCACTTTCACCTTCTATTATTTAATTTTTCTGGTGAACTAAAGGCAATAGAAGAAGAGGCAGAAAGACATTGGTTGGCTGAAAGCTCAAAGGTTGCCTTAGAGCATCCATTCCTATGTGCTGGTCTCTCAGGTCCATAAAAAGAGAACAGCATGAACCTACCCTACCTTATGCTTGCTTGAAGTAAATAGATCAACTTGGTAAATGCCCCTAAACCTCATTGTGACGGAGGCGTGGGCAGAACAGAAAATGTGCAGAAATCAAGGGTGGTTCAGATCCGTGGGACAAGGGGTTCTTGATTAAGGGGTTCAACAGATTGTTTATAAAATGGGTAAGTCCACAGGGCACAAAGAAGAAATGTGGTAGAGCCAGGATTAGTTCTAGAGAGGTGCCGGACAGCAGAATGGTACAGCCAGACTGAATCCACAGGATCACAGGACAGATACATGATGCACCAAAAGGAGTAAATCCAGTGGCAGCAATCTGGGGTACAGCAGAGACATGCAGCAGAACTATGGGGCAGCAATATGGCACAGCAAAGAATACGTTTCTGGCCTCAGTTTTCCTACAAAAGTTGGTGGAGAATGCAGGTACCTAACATTATTTTATTTACCGGATCAGGCGGCTGGGCTCTGAGAGATGGGATGGACACTGCATTATAGGTAGGCTAGCCAAGTCGCTTTGTGACTCGCTACTATTATGTGACAGGTGACTCAATCTCTCTTGTGCAGTAATAGATTTGCTAATAACATTGTGTGTCTGTAAAAGTATGTAGCTTCCTGCGTGCTCGAGCTAATTCCAGTGTGTGTGTGTGTGTGTGTGTGTGTGTGTGTGTGAATGCAAGGCACGGCTGAACAAATATAAACTAATGTGAGATGATTCTGTAACCATGTCAACTTCTATTTCATTCACCAAGCTTTCCACTAACCATACTAATTAGCTACAGGAGTACGTGGATTGGAGACTGCTTGTTGTTCGAGCACTTAAGACACCTTGCCACTGGGAGAACATTCAGATTAGGAGAACTGTCTTTGCAGCTTGTGATGGTGGCACAAAGATGAATTTAAATGGTGGTAGTATTTTAGGGTCCTTGAGATAGACGAGGGAAGAATCTAAAGTGGGTCATGCAAACCTGTGGATTGTGTTATCTTGTTAGTGTGGAGGGACTGGCACAAGTCTTGCAGTTGAGGGGAATTAGGTGTGCACAATGTCTAGATTTTGTGCAAGAACATTGCCAAAAAGTTCTTTATATGATTGGACCTGCACCACTGACCACGCAAGACAAGGAACAAACCACTACAAACGTTTTAAGCACAAAAACACTTTACTTCCAATTATATACTCTCTGCACCACTATAAATGACACACAATCTTATTGAAGGATACAAAAAGTACTTTTTTTTTTCTTAAAAAGACAATATGAAGGAACATATAGGATATGCGATATGGGGCTGAGGATCTCTGCCTATGCCTCTCCATATAATATTGTGATATATTGTTGATTTCACATTTACATCATTTGAATTGGAGGAGACACCGCTGTGGCATGAGTATGTCGTTTAGAATTATCATCACATCATATGTACTGGGGGGAGGCTTACTCCATTCTGTTGCAATGTTTTGAGTTATTTCATTGCCTATTGTTGAGTGATATATTAATTTCTGCACCGTTACATTGCTGCCATATGAGTTTTTGTCAAGGTATGTCCCCTTGCAATAAGTACAGTGGTACCTCTGTTCGCGAACAATTCGGTTCGTGAACAGGAAGTTCGGCAAAATATTGCTTCCGTTCGTGAACTCCGCATCGGGTGACGAACATAACCGCAGCCATGTTCCCTGCTCTGACGCATGGCCGTGGCTTCCTATAGTCGAGATTGCGGTCTGATCACAGTTCGATTCGGTTCGCGAGCAGAATCATGGAACGAATTAAGTTCCTGAACCGAGGTACCACTGTATTTGGCTCATTTGCTAAACCAAATAGCCTCACATGCAGTGGAGGTGTGATCCATTTTATACTATCGCAGATTTAGGTCCATGTCCTTCTAAGGTTATAAATAAGACCTGGGTCATCAGCTCTGGTATCTATCTGAACACTGCAATTGCAAGTTTATTCACTGCGGATTTCTTAGTGATTTTATTAGGGAGCTAGGTATGTTTTTAAGTGTTTCATAAAAATGTTTTCTTTCATGTGCACTTTTGGTAATTTATTTACAAGTGCAGTACTACCTATTGTTTTGTTAAGAAATAAAGTATTTTTGCAGCCTTCAATAGGATTGTGTATCATTTATAGTAGTGGAGACGGTATGTAAAAGGATGTTAAGTGTTTTTGTGCATAAAATTGAAACAGAAAGTTTTGTCTTGGCAGAAGGGAGAAATATCTGCTGGAAGTTAGAGCCACAAGAGGTGGCAGCCTCTCCCTTTAAAATGCAGTGCCAGGATAGAAGCTGCTGGGAATACACCACTAATTTGTGATCTGTGAACTGCAGCAGACAAATTTGTTTCTTCTCGAGTGCCTTCCTCCTCTTGCTAAAGCTGGCCACAGACCTATAGATTATCTGCAGATTTTCTATGGTCAGATTCTTCCGTCTACACTAAACTGTGTGGATGGAGGAATCTCCCACTGGGCCAAGCTTCAGTATCTTGCTAGTCGGCTGCGCTGTCTCTCATCCAATCAGATTGTTCAGGTATTTTAACAGCCAGTGGGGCCGACTAGCAAGATACTGAAGCTTGGCCCAGTGGGAGATTCTTCCATCCACACAGTTTAGTGTAGATGGAGGAATCTGTTGCACTTTTTCCATCTGACCACAGAAAATCTGTAGATAATCTAGGGCTGCAGCTAACGATTATTTTCATAATCGATTAGTTAGCCGATTATTACGTTCGATTAATCGACTAATCGGGTTTCTAAAAAAAGTCTCCAGTGATGGACTACTAGTTTCTATTGAGATTGTAGTCCATCACGGGAGCAAGTTGGAGCGGTAGAAGTAAAAAAAGAGTGTGGTGTGCAATATAGTGACATTATACAGCGGCACAGTGCAGAATACCAGCAGCTATAGAGGAATACAGCAACTCGCAGCAATGGTACATTATACTATAATGTATTATTGCTGGGATCTGATGTATTCCTCTATAGCTGGTGTTATTGAAATAATTGATAGCCGACGAATCGACGATCGAAAACGCTGGTAACGTTTTCAATCGTCGATTTTAATCGACTAAATCGATTAACTGTTGCAGCTCTAAGATAATCTATAGGTTTGTGGCCAGCTTTAAACTCACTCCCACCCCTCCTTATCGATGAGGGTATGCTCTACACTGCACAGTGAATTTACTTCTGTGTGTATCTTCCAAAGAATTACTATAATCTTTCTGTTGTCTTACAGAGAAAGTTGTAAAGATGTGACGGGTAATTAATTAATGTGATGGTAAACAATATGGTTTAACCCCCTAATGACGAGGCCTTTTTTCCCCATTTTTGTTTACATGTTATAATCCACATGTTAGGCCTGAACATTACTTAAAACCCCAAACATTATATATTTTCTGAAAACCAAGACCCTGTAGAATAAAATGGTGCCGGTTGCAAATTTTTATATTGCACGATATTAGCGCAACCATGAAGGATCATGGGGAGGGCGCATGCGCAGTAAAGATCTTCGGCTGGGGGAAGAGGAGAGAAACAGTAAAGGTCAATGCACGCAGCTTATAGCGTGCACACGGACAGACAACGTGGTATACAGAAGACACAGCAGTCAGCGCTGGAGTGACCCCTGAAAACTACAGGAAAGAAGAAGATGATCGGATCAAGAGGCATCATTTAAGGTAAGTCCTTAGCAGCATTGGGGGGGGGGGAGAAAAAATTGTGACTTTAATGTCACTTTAAGTATTCCCTTCTCAATCCAAAACTAAAAAAAAAAACATTTTCCAGTTATCACTAGCACATGGAAGTGAGACATTTTTTTCCAATGTAGACATCTGTTTAACCACTTTTTTTCTTTTTTGCGCACACATGATAAAATCTGAATTTTTGGCTAGAACACAGCTTCAGACCCCCCAACCAATTATATATTTTCTGAAAGCAGAGGCCCTGTAGAATAAATAGATGCTAGTTGTAATTTTTTATGTCACATGGTATTTGCGCAAATGTTTATCAAACAAGTATTTTGGGCATAAAATACACTAAAACTAAATTTAGTGCACAGAAACAGAATATAATGTATAATTTTTTGTAAAAATATAAAAGATGGGGTCACGCCGGGTAAATAGATACCAAACATGTCAAGCCTTAAAATTGCGTGCGTCCGTGAAACCTGCAAAAAACTACAAAGACCAAAATTCCCCATAGCAGGTGCTTTAAACTCATCAGTTTAGTGCCAACAGTGATTGATGGGCCTAGAATTATTGCTCTCACTCCGACAATCGTGACGATATGTAAAGTGTGGCGCAACTGTTTTTGCACGTAGGCGCATCCGGCGCGTGTTTCCGTTGTATGCGAGTGGACGTGGGGGGCGGTAGACTTTTTTTTTTTCACTCAGCTTTATTGCTATTGCATAGGGGGCTAAAAACCCCCTATGTAATAACAACTATAATGTGACAGGTCCTCTTTATGGAGACATCAGGGGTCTTTCAGAGATTTGCTTCATCAGCTTCTTCTTCTGGCTCTAGGAGCCAGAGAATGTGCCCAGTGACACCGGAAGTGATGTAATGCTGGAAGCCGCTGATCTCTCCTCTGATCTATTAGGGAAGACCCTCCACGGCAGTCCTGGGCTCCACTGTCCCTTGTGTGAGCCAGGGACTGCCGTGGAGGGTCTTACCTTTGCCCCATTGAGAAGCATTGGAGAGCGATATCGCGCGGTAATGTGAACTGGGCCTAAGATCTCACAACTGGGCCTAAGATCTCACAACTGGGCCTAAGATCTCACAAGATTTTGCAGATTTTGCAGTTTACAGATAAGCATTCCCAGCAATACACTGTTGATGTAACCTTTCCAAGATGCATCACTTAGGCATGGGCTACATCACTAATGCCCAAGAGGACCAGGAAGTGTAAAAACAGTAATTGTAAGTAAAAGAAAAATGTTTTAACTAATAAATGTAAGATGATTTCACATCAGCATGCATAGCTGAATGCTGATGTGATTTTTTGTTAAAAGGGGTAAAGGTCCACTTGAAGCCCACGTTGACACCTGTGCAATCTGAAGCACTTCAGCCATTGCTGACAACGAATGACAAAAAGGAATCCCATCACTTTTATGGGGCCTGTTTACACTTATGCTTTGCGCTGCAGTTCGGCTTTGAAAAGGGTGCAGATTAGGCTGGGCTTGTTGTGAATCCAGTTCGCCCAAGCCCGCTCATATCCCTAACCAATACCCGGTCAATCAGCCTCCCAGCTCCTTTGTGACATATAGCTGTGAAGCAGGCAATGCGCCTTCTCGCAACTGACTGGGTCCGGAGGAGGGGGTGGCAGTCACCGTTTTGAGCAAACTCATGCGAACTGGGTTCACACGAAGCCTGGCCTCAATACTAATGCTTCTTTCGGTGTAACACATGCATTTGTAACCCCATAGGCTGTAATGGAAGTGTATGTAAAATGCATGAAGAATGCACGGCTGAAAAACACATGTGAAGGCAGGGGCACAGGTGTAAAAAGAAACTTATCTTTAACACTTATTCCTATGTAAATATATATATATATAATCAGTGTGGGGTGTGCAGTGAGGTATAGAGGTATACTAGCAGAGTAGCAGCAGGCCTTATAAACATTGCATCACACAGCTATCAGAAAGTCCTGCACTTTGTTTACACACTGCCTTGCCTGAAAACACTGCTTCCCATTACACGTCAAACCCTGTCACATTAAGCACACAGCAGAGCTTACCCTCTTTGCCAGAGTCCATGACAAGGAAGACACACAACACTACCGCCTACGGAGACTTCACTATATTACAGCACCCCTACACATGGAGAGGAGAAGCGCACATAACCTTGCTGGGGTCACACTACTCACTGGCCGCACATGTACTTCCGGGGCAGAGAAAGAAAGGATGCTAACAAATAAGACATCCCTGCATCCCTTTAGATGATCGGGCGCCTTCCATAGTGTGTAATGGCTTCAGCTGTTTTTTTAAATGACAGCAGTAATGGGTTAATGTGTGAGTAAAGACTCACTTCTCTGCCAGAATCACTAATCTAATGTAACTGAGAAAGTCTTCGCTGAATGGTCAGTAGGTCACAGCGTGGGCGGAGCTTGGATCGTGCACGGCTGAAGAGATGCCAGGGATGCTTTCTGTCATGTAACCAGCTTATTTTACTACCTGTATGTACGGTAGTTTCCTGGACTCACTTTGAGACTTTTTTTTTAATTGGCATGAAGATGAAAATTCCTTTTTTTTTTCTTTGACTTTTCCATTTGCCAGCAAGTGGTCACTCTTTTGATACTAAGCAGCACTTAAAGCGGACCTTTACAGTCAAAAATAAAATTCTACCGATGCATCCCTCTATGTATGATGATTAATAATAACATAGCCATGTCGGGTGTAAAATGCTGTGATTTTGAAATACACTTGCAGAACATTCAGCTCCTGCTTTGAAAGGACAAATTGGCTACAGTTTGGCAAACTAATGCACTAGGGTTGCCACCTGTCCAGGATTCACCCGGACAGTTCGGGTTTTGAATGCTGTGTCCAGGTTTCATGGCAGCAGAAACCCGGACACAAGATGCCAGGCAGACAGGGGCAACCAAAATTAAGATAGGGGCCACTGGCCCCCCACTGAAAATACTCTCCACTGTGATATTTATATATGAATGGGCGGCGCTATTTACATGTGAATAAGCTGTGACTTATTCCCCCTAAAAAATGTCCACGCGTTGCTAGAGTGTTCGGGTTTCACTTGAAGAAAAGGTGGCGACCCTACAATGCACACTGGGATTGCCATGTCATCAGCAGAGCATTGCTGGGAGATCTCATCTGTAATCTCACGAGATCTCAGGGAAAGGCGTTTTCCTCTCCTGAGATGTGCATGGTCACATGTCTACAAAAAAGTATGGACACCGGCACTCCAAAGGTAGAAGTACGTCTATTTATTGACGCATGTGCAAAACACGCTCATTGCGATGTTTCGGGGTCACGCAGGATCCCCATAATTAGGCAGAACAAGTGGATACGTCAATAAATAGACGTACTTCTACCTTTGGAGTGCCAGTGTCCATACTTTTTTGTATTACTGGACTATAGCCATCCGTCGACTGCCGATGCACCAAACCATTCTTATTATGGATAAGCGGTCAGGAGTGCAATGGGTATATGGATTGTGGTCACAAGTCTAGTCACATGTGCCAGTAATCCAGGAAGTAAATGGAGAGCTAATAACCTGCCCTTAGTTAACATGGCCACTGTCAGAAGACGGAATGAAACGAGAAATAAGGTATGCAAAGAATACAAAGCCTGCAATTATCTAGAAGTATCTGTTTGTAGATTGTCATTACCAAACATTCCTAAAGGTGTAATATACAGGGGTACAAGTAGTACTCCTAAGAATGAGATCCTAATAGGTTGGACTTGATGGACTAATGTCTTTATTCAACCTCAAATACTATGTAACTATGTGTGTTTGTTGCTATTTTAAAGATATGGGTAAAGGTCCGCTTTAACAATTTTGTATGCAATGGTCCCTTAAAGTGGAACCATGGCCAAAATCAAAAGGGAAATGATGCTACCTGTCACTTGTATTTAGGGCTTAGTCGCACCATTCACATGTTAAAATGTTCCATTTTAGCGTGCGGCTTTTGCTTGCTGGGTGGCAGTGGTGTGGTATGGTTTACTTTATTATTACTCTATTGGCAGTGTACACTCCAGACACAGCAGGGTGGTGTGCTGTGGTTCAGTGGCCTGCAATGCCATCCAAAGCTGAAAAATGCAGCATGTCTCCAGCACAGCCCTGAGCTAGAACCTGACCCATTGAACTATCTCACAAAACAATTACTTTTAGTCCCTGTTCGCACCTAGGTGTTTTGATCGCTCAAAACGCTCAAAACACAGAATCCAATTAATTTCTATGGCCCCTGTTCACACCTGAGTGATTTGTCCCAAGCAGAAAAATGCCTGTTGCTGGAAAAAATACTCAAGATACTTTTTGGCAGATTACAGCACTTTTCGGTCCCATAGACCTCAATGGGGAATTACACTGATTTTGCAGAGATTCCTTCTTGCCTATTGTGTCTCCCAGACGAAGGAATTCCTGTTGTGTCTCCCAGACAAAGGAAAAGATTCAAGACAGGAAGTGAAGGGAAATCTTCTTAATAGAACACAACCCCAATGAGATACTGACAGAGTATGAACCTTTACCTACACAATCTAAATCTTAATTTAAATTTTAAAAAAAAGTTTATCTAGCCAATCACAGTGATCACAGTGCTGTTACAGCCATTGATCCGGCTTGCAGCTCATCACACTGAGCTGAGCAAGTCGGATCAGTGTGCTACAAAGTGATTAAAAGGGGCCTATTCACGAAAGAAACGAAGGATCCAGCCATAGCTTCGGCTGATCCTTCGGCCGCCGGAGTCCTTCGGTTTAGTCGAACCGAAGGGCTGCTGTACGGGCTATTCACTATAGCCCGAATAGCAGCTGAAGGCGGCCAAGCGGCTCAGCCAAGCCGAAGGCATATGCTTCGGCTCGACTGAGCCGAAGTGACAGCCGAAGCGGGGCAAACGCCCTGACGAAGGCCGGCCATTCGTCCCGCAAATGACAGCTGGACTGAGCCAGCCGTGATCTCATGGCTGGCTTCGCCCAGTTGAAATGACAGATCAGCGTCCCCAAATGACCTGGGGACTCTAATCTGTCATTAAACAATAACAACTGGGCATTGTCGGCAGAAGACTCTAGCAGGTGCCGGCCAATAGGAAACAGTTGGGCGGAGCTAGCTGTCACTGCTAGCTTTGCCCAATTGTTTTGGGAGTTTTTCCAATATCTTTATTTATTTTCACTATTAATTTAAATTTTTAAACTATTTTCACTATTGTCTATTCTGCTCGGTACCCCCGCTAGGCGGCATTCAGCTATTCACTCACTGCCGTTCGGCTCCTCTAAGAATAGAGACGAACGGTAGCGAGTGAGCTGTCGGAGCTACAGCTCAGCTGATCCAGATGTTGGATCGGCTGAGTCGAAGCCCTTCTGCACTTTGACTCAGCCGAACATGCAGAGCATGTTCGGCTGACCGAAGGCAGGGGAAGGCAGCCGATGGATGGCTGATTTCACCCAGCCGTACTGAGCCGGAGTGAATAGCCGAACATTGTTCACCTCGGCTGGGTTATTCACTCGGCTGCCTTTGGCAGCTTAGTGAATAACCCTGAATACAGTGTCTCCTCAGAATATTAAGTATCCAAAGCCCCTGTGAATAAAAAAATTAACCCTTTAGTGTCCCCCCAGTTTAAAAAAAAAAGTCAAACAGTTTTAAAATGTTTTTTTTTTTTTGAAAAGTAAAAACGGTTCTGTCTTGGGGCCATTGCTGCTCAAACTGTTTATCAATGATTGTAGGACTGCTATTAATAGAAATATTTCAGGTTTTGCTGACAACACCAAACTTTGTAGGGTAGTAAACCCAACAGAAGTTATAGCAATATTATAGGAAGATCTGGATAAAATAGGGGGGTGGGCATCTACATGGCAGATGAGGTTTAATATTGAGAAGTGTAATGTTATGCTTTTTGGAGTTAAAAATACGAAAGCGAGCTACTCATTTAATGGGCATCCCACTGGGGGAATAAAAAGTGGAAAAATATTTGGGATTCCTAGTGGACTGTCGCCTTAGTAACAGCATGCAATGCCAGGTAATAAGGCAAGCAGGGTACTATTATGCATAACAAAGTGAATGTACTGTAGAGATAAATCCATAATTCTGCCCCTGTACAAAACACTGGTCCGGCCACATCTTGAGTATGCGGTTCAGTTTTGGTCACCGATCCACAGAAAGCATGTCCTTGAGCTAGAGGGAGTCCAGAGAAGGGCGACAAAGCTAATAAAGGTCCTAGAGGACCTAAACTATGAGGAAAGACTGCATGCATTAAACTTGTTCACTCTGGAGAAGAGGAGACTGAGAGGGGACATGATATTAACGTACAAATTGTTCTGTTGTAAAGCCGACAGTCGGCTCTACAAGATTAAACAGAGTCCCCGTGGCAAAAGTCGCCGGGAGTCTGTTTAAACAGCCCCGATGCTGGCGACGTACACTGTAAGTCGTCAGTCACGAAGGGGTTAATGGTCATGGGATAATCAGTAATAAACTGTTTACAAGAATATAAGAGGCCACCATCTGAAACTGGAAGAGAAAAGGTTTAATCTTAAACAGTGAAGGGGATTCTTTACTGTGAGAGCTATAAAATTGTGCAACTCCCTTCCACAGACAGTGGTATCAGCTGAGAGCATGGAATCATTCAAGACCCGTCTAGATACTTTTCTCATTCGTTGGATCGGTGGATCGGTGTCTTTATTAACCTTAACAACTATGGAAACTATAGTGCAAAGCGGGCTATTAAAGTTAGGAGACAAACATACTACATTCTAAAATTGTTTCACAGTAAAATTGTATTTTACTCGTATATTTTGTGACCTGTAACTCCCAAAATAAACTGAGATCCCAGAAATATGATATACCCTATAAATCAGGACACATAAAATACTTTATTATGAATTACTTTCTGATAGCTACACTAATTATGTACACATTATTATTGCCAAAAGTGTGAAAATTGTTCTTTTTTTTTTCTTGTATTTTTTTATAAAAAAGAATTTATATATATGCATATGTCACATCAAATTAAAGCATATTTTGTCCTTTTAAAAAAACGGTATATAATATGGGTAGCTGCAATGAATTAGGAAGATGGAAATTATGGTTAAACAAATACATGGCAAAAAATGGCAAAATTGCTCCAGTCCCCAGGAACTAAAAGATTTTCTGAAGCTGTGTCACTAAGGGGTTAGGATGGTACCTACTTCTCTAGCAAATGGGGAGAAGCCAATAT